CCCCCCCCCCCCCGCGATACGAACGCTCATGCATTGCCCTCGCCGCATTCAACTTTCGTGTAAGGGATGGAGGTTACAAGCATCAAGTTTATCGCACAGAGGCATGTACTGCTGATACATGATGCTTGGTCTTCGCTGCTGTCTTGTCTTCCACTAAACAAGAACCCAGCGTCACACAAATGAAAAAAAACAAACATTGCTGTTGCTACACATCAACACCGCGCCCTCCGTTTGCATGCAACTCGACTAGATAACCCGTTGTCGTGTTTTGTCCATTTCATTGCCCGAACAAAAAATAAATAACAGCAAAGACTTTCTTCAGCGCGTGATGGCCAAGGACGTGACCTTCACGCCCGAACTGATCAAGAGCGTGGTCCCCACGGGCCAGGCCTCCGTCCGGAGAGCCCTCCGCTCCGTCGGAAACCCGGTGGCGAAGCTGACGCACCTGCGGGAGCTGGTGATGGTGCTGGTGAAGCAGCTCTCGAGGAGGTCGGCCAGGTTCCCGCTCGCCCTGGGGGCAAACGACAGGGTCAGCGCGGCAGACCGGGAGCTTGACCGCGGCATCGAGGCGGATGAGGTATGTATGCGGGGGCGTGGGGCGCGTACTGATGTTGCGCATGCCTTTGCGGTTGTGTTAGACCTCTGACCACGCGTCCTCGAGAGGACGGAGCCTTGGTTCCACGATTACCGATGATGGCCAATCGACCCTTCCTACTTTGCCATAGGTGAGTGTTTCCCCTATCTTTCTATGCTATCGATATCGCTTCCCGACACATGGGGCGGGTACACAGAGGGCGCTTTGGGGTGGATGGGAAATGGCTTTGTTATACTCTTTGCCTATCGGGAGGAACGCCATTTGGGGGGTTGAAACCGCTGGTATCGTCGTTGTTGTTGTCTTGACGTTGACGAACCGTTTCATACCTCTGCTCCCAATACAACCTCCAACATCCCCACGTATCGGAGCAGCTGACGCCCACGACTTGGGTCCTAGATACCCATGTCGCACCGATGTTTGTGAACAGGCCTAACTCTTGTCCCGACCTGGGCACAGCCAACAAGACACGGTGGGGCGTCGTCATCTCTCTGCCGTGCATGAAAACCTCCGTTGAACAACAGTCCAAAGTACAAATGACCATCACCAGAACTATCTTGCTGAGCCTGTTACCCATATAGGGGAAGTAGTAGTGCTATGCGTTCAGCTCGGAAATCAGAAAAACCACAGGTATGCATTGTAACTTCATGGAATGATGCTCTTTCATAGAGGACTCTCAAGAATCAATACGCAAACCCTCTCTGTCCCCTTTCTTAGCCATTCTGTTTTTTTGTTTCTCGCTTTTGTCGCGAACATCACAACCGTGAATCACTGCGACTTGATTCTAGTTCATCCTGGACTCTTTTTAAGAAGAACCTCCCTCCCTCCCTCTCTCTCTCTCTCTCTCTCTCTCTCTCTCTCTCTCTCTCTGTGTCCGTGGTTGGTCGGTTTATGTTTCTTCTTTTTCGCTCTTTCTTGCATCCACCATCAGTTCGCGACGAGCAGGGTGGAGAAGGCGGAGGCTCGAGAGAAAGAGAAGAAGCTGCAGAAGCTACAGCAAAGCTGCGACCCCAGTCACCTCCCCGCCACCAGCAAGGACAGGTGGGACAGCAAGGACAACATGCTTCCCGTCCGGGGCGAGACCCCGCTCCTCATGCACGACCGCTGGCGGAAGCTGCACGACGAGCTCTACGACAGCGCGACGGGGTTTGACATCACCAAGGTACGACTGAGATCGGGGCTGTCCAAGAGTTGCTGTTGTGTGGTTGGTTGTTGTAGTAGGTTGTTGTTGTAACTGCTGTCATGTTTTATTTTGCCCTCACTGGCGTCATGTATCTTGCCTCTCTTGACGTTTGATTGTGGGTGTGTCACCATCTACTCTATTTGTTCGCTGTGCGCTAAGGCGTTGTTGTTGGGTAATGGGGCGCGGTGATGGTGATATTGGTGTTCGTGGACGGCTATGGGTGTTTCGATTTTTTTTTTTCCATTTCGTTCCATTGTTTTTTCCTCCCATTACTGTAATCCCATATCCAGTACGCTTCGTCATCAAAGCCTTTGCGTGTGTGTATGTGCGAATCCCTCGTTCCACCAGATCCCCGACGTCCACGACAACGTTCGCTACGACTGCCTCCACAACTCGCACCTCGGACTCGACGGTCTCCCAGAGCTGTACGACCTCGCCAAGCAGCTGGCGGACTCCATCGTTCCGCAGGAGTACGGCATCACCAAAGGGTGAGTTCGAGGGACAACAGCTAGAAAACGAGCAGAGAGTTCCGAACGCCTCCCCTCCGTTTCAGGAGATCGACCCCCCTCGTTGCTCCGCAAAATGGCACCCATCTCTATGTGAGCGGGGTTATTGCTGGGGGACGACGCCTCAAAAAGTGGTCGTTGGGAGAACAAACGGTCTGGAGTCGCGTTATTGCCCCACGACCAGCGAGGAACGATGGAAACTCTCTCACAGCGAGCGCCTGCGTGACAATGGTTTCTGGTCTGTTGCTGTCTTTCAGGCGGGTCTCGTTTGCACCCGGGGGTGGTGGTGGTCGTTTTGGTGTCTTACCAGTGCGTGCGAGACTAGCGACTTACCAAGCCCTTGCATATGATTTATGCGCGATGCTTCATGGCCATAAGGGCATGTGCACCTCGACTGCAGGAGTATTGCGGCAGAGGTTGATGACCCTTCTCCCCACCCCACCCCTCCGTTCGTCGTTGTCGGCCCACCGTTCGCAGCGCCAAGCTGGTGATTGGTTCAAAGATGTGCCACGCCCTGCTGGACAAGATCAAGTACGACCTGTGAGTTACTTCCGGCGGTTATAATGGACTTGAGTGTGTTGCTGTATGGGCCAGAGTTGTTCGCCCACCTAGCCTCTGCCAATGTGTGTCCGCGCGATACCCTCCAGACATTCCCGTGTTTCTCTTACCCCCCGCTCTGAAAACACACCGCACTGGACGTCGATGACCGCTATGGTTGTATTCACCGTCTCTGTTGTGTAGAAACCGCCACAGCTCTAATGATCGATCAGGCTTTGGTCGCCGTGACGGAAGGCACGCGGTGGGCGTTCAGCAAGCACACAACGACCGCCACCCTGACCTCACGTTCGAATCGTCGATTGGTCAGGCTCATCGCGATGATGGACAGCGAGGTGGACATGCGGTACCAGCTAGACCTGAGCCACGTGCATGACCTGCCCATAAACTCTCTCGGCCGGCGCGTGCGGACTCGTCTGTACTTCACTTCGGAGTCGCACCTGCACACGCTACTCAACGTGCTCAGGTACGCCTCCCGTACGCATGCACAGTTCAGGACATACCTTTTTTTTGCGTTTGTTTTCCTTGCACCTGTGCTCTGCTTTCGTTCACCTAGCGTTGGGCTTGTCTCGATGCGCTGCTCCGGTGGGGTTCCTAAGAGACCGGAGTCCGTTGCGTTACATCTAGCCCTAGCCGTGTTTATATGCGCAGCCCCATCCCCAACGTAACGTCAGGTTCCCCATCGGCGACCGCGAGGCCGTGGTGACGGATGAGGCCAAGAGGATGCTCAGCAGGACCAAGGAGCTGTGCTACCTCACGTCCTTCGTGATCCGGCTCTTCGAGGATGCAGAAAAGGTGAGACAGAAACATCAGCACGAGCACCAACACCAGCAGCAGCAGCCGCAGCACCACCAACACAACCACCACCACCACTACCAGCAGTAGCAGCACCACCAACACAAACAACCAGCACCAGCACCAACACCACCAACACAACCACTACCACCACTACCAGCGGCAGCAGCACTACCACAACCAGCAGCACCAGCACCAGCACCAGCACCAGTAGCGGCACGAGCAAGGTCACACCACAAGCAAGAGAAGAAACACACGAACATGTCACGGCAGCATCACTCCCTAAACATCTTGACTGGTACCCACGATCTCCTATTAATACATGATTTCACAAGTGTGTAGCTGCCTGGAAGTAAATAAGTAAATACCACTTCCAAGGAAACTTGTTTGAATTTGACTTCCATGGAAGCTGGCCAAGTGACTTCCATGAAAGTTTAGGGAATTCTGTGATAGTTAAGGTATAAGTTGGAGCGTTCACGAGCGACTTGCTTGCAAGCTTTACCTAACTTCGATTGAAGCTATGTAGTCGACCTCCACTATATAGCTTCCATGTAAGCCTAGCAGCCCGGCTTTGAACTGCGCAGCGTGTAGACCCGCGTGCAACAACCTCCGCAGCAAGCGCCGGTGTAGGCGATGGCAAGAGGCGAGATGATTGGTCGATATGCAAACACACCTCCGAAATACAGTACTGCCGCGTGATGAGGTAAGAAAATCCGGAGAATAGAGAGAGGATGTTTATGTACTGCTCTGAACCGTCGAAGATAACCGCCTGGCGGACAAATCCCGCACGCACCCTTCGCACCCTTGTCAATATATTGAACGATTGAGGTCAAAGAACTACGATATCGCTTTTTTAGCATCAGACGAGCGGTCTCACCGGTAGATTTGTACGCCCAATACACCACACCAGAAACAGGTCTTTGACGGGCGGGTTGTAGGCTGTCTCCAACTGCTCTACGACCGTGGACATGGGGCACGTCTTTCATCGCCACGCTTTACCGGTCTCCGAGAGGACACCATACTGATCGCCAACCCTGCACTCCTAAGAACCCTTGCCCTGACCCCTAATCTTGGGCGGACCAATAAATCCATGCAGGGGCCAGAAGACCCGGCGAGGTTCCGCGTGGAGATCCTGTTCAGCCCGGGGGTGGTGAAGCACCCCATGCTCTCGGGGGACCACCTGCACACGGCGCCCCTGGTGCCTCTCCACAAGCACCTCACCTGCAAGATGGTGCTGGACACGCTCAACGCCGCTATAGGTGAGGGGAGGCCGCAGGCTCGCGCTATTCCCACGTGGTTCGCGATGATGACGGTGGGCGTTTGCAGCGATGGTTGTGTTTTGTTTTCCTGATGCGGGTAGCGATATAGGTCGTTTTGAGATGGTAGATATTTATCATTATTTTTATCATCCTGGTGATGGTTGTAGGTCGTTCTCGGTGTGATGTTTTGTCTTCGTTGGCGATACATATCGGTCGTGATCGTTGCTGCGATTGGTACGTAGAAGTGATCGGACTCACTCCAACGGCTCGAACGGGTAGCTGTCGTTCAGGAGTCCGGTTGTATACCATTTGCTAGCTTTCCCTTCGGAAGGGCCTGACCCCACTCAATTCCCTCTTACCGCAGCAATTCAGCTCCGCATCTCACTGGCCGAAACACCCAAGATCCCCAAGTGCCAACGGTAGCAAACGGGCGCGCAGTAGGCGTACGGTGGCCTCAAGTATTTTGCATTTTTGTGAACACTCTCTTCTTCCACCGCCGTTTTGCTGATAGACTGTGGCCGAGCGTGCTAGAGGCTACACACACACGCTCTCGCGCGCTGCAACTGACTTTTTTTCACTGGCCAGCCGGTAGGCACGGTCGGTGCTAGTAAACAGATACACCACCCATTGGTCAGCCGGTTAGCGCGGTCGATGGTACTAATAATACCACACACACACGCATACCTACAACACTCTCCGAACCCCGCCCCTCTCCTCCCGCCTCCCCCTTTCTCTGGACAATATCCTCACAAACTAGAAATCATGAATAAATGGGTACCCAAACGCACTCCATGCCCTCCTCCGCCCGCTGCCCGCGCCCACGGCTAGTTCCCCTCTTGACCGGCCCGTCTGTCTGTCAATCCTTCCTTGCCTTGCCTGCAACATGAATGCAGACTTGCCATCAACTGTCCCTGACGACCACAGCGAGGCAGAAGCCATCCTCCATAAGCTGGACAAGGCCGCAAGGCAGCAGCGGAACAAGGAGAGCGGCGGCGGCGGCGGCGGCGGCGGTAGCGATGCCAGCACCGTAGGAGCGGCGACTGAAGGCGGGGGTGGGGCTGCTGCGGCTTCGGCGCCGGGAGGGTCTGAGCATGGAGATGACGGTGGCAGCAGCAGCCATACTGGCGGCCGCGAGAAGCAGCGGAAGAAGCAGCCGTGCCAACCCGGAGGAGGCGGAGGAGGCGAGGGCGACATGACGCGATGGAGCGGCGGCGATCAACAACAGCGCGGTCCCGCGGGAGAGAGAGAGGAAGAGGAGGATGCCTCGGGGGAGAGGCAGTCCTGGTACTACGGCGGAGGGGGGGGCTGGGGTAGAGGGAAGGCGGACATCGGTGGCGACGCGGCGGCGGCGGAAGCGGCGAATGCGGGAACGAAGGGGAGGAAGGAAGAGGACAAGGAGAAGGAGAAGGAGAAGGAAAATGAAACACGGCCGCGAAAGAACTCGTGGTTGAGCTTGAAGCCGGTCACACGTGCCACCAGCAGGGAGCGGAAGCCGCGGGAGGAGCAGCTTCCCGAGCAGCAGCATCAGCAGCAGCAGCAGCAGCCCCAGCAGCAGCAGCAGCCCCAGCTTCTGCGGCGACAGGACTCACGAGACAAGGGCGACGGTGGAGCGGCAGACGGTGGTCGTCCGGACGGAAGGAGCACAGCGAGGAACGGAGGCGTCCCGCCAGCAGGAGGGGCGAACGCCGACAGTAGGGAGAGTCAAAATCCTCCCGAGCAGCAGCAAAAGCAGGAGCAGGAGGAGGAGGAGGAGGAGGAGCAGGAAGTTGCAGACGAGGAGGGCTACCACCCGGACACGGGAGGCGACCAAGAGGACGGGGAAGAGGATGATGACGACGGGGACGGCACGGGGGAGGAGGACGACGAAGAGGAAGAAGAGGACGGAGACGGCGAGGGGGACGACGACGACGACGACGAAGACGATGACGACGATAATGAGGGGTTCGAGAGCGACATCGCGAGGTCGGCGCAGGCCCGGCTGACATCGGACTCGTACCAGTCCCTGCGGTGCGAGAGCGAGTTCTTCTGCCCGGACTCGGCCTCGAGCAACAGCCACACGCCCGACGACGACGACGAGGAGGACGAAGACACGACCCCGATGATCGGGTTGAACGGCCGTTCCTTTCGCCGGGGTCGAGGAGGCAGCAGGAGACACCACGTCCCCAAAGGCAGCAAGAAAAGGTAACACTCGGGTCATAGTAGTTGGCGTGGGAAGAAGAGGCGGCCCGACATCGAAGGCGGAACGACCCGCTTGGTTTGTTTTCTAAAATAGCATCACCGAAGCCTATGCTAGTCTCCAGCCAGAAAAATCACCGCTTGCAGTAGTGGTTTACACGCTCCAGTGTATGAATCCAGTAGCTCAGCGGCCACGGGCTGCGTGAATCCGTATGCTGCGATTCATTGAGTTTGCTCTTGGCTTGTTTAGTCTCTTGGCTTGTTTAGTCTGTGCGCCCCAAATAGCGCGAGCTCTTTAATAATGTACCGCGTGCCCTCGGGAGGCTTTCCTCCCTTGTCTCCTCCTCCTTTACTCGAACTCTCCTCCCACCTGACCTCGTGTCAATTCTTGGGGTTTTCATGCGCAGGGCTGTGGTTCGACGATCTGTCGGCGTGGACAGCCGCAACGAAGACGGCGGCGGCTGCGGGGGCGGCGGCGAGGGCAGGGGCGGTAGCGGCCCCAGGTACTCTGCCGCCACCGTTGCCGCTCTCGGTGTGCTGGGAGCGGCGGCGGCGGGTGCCGCGGTCATGGCTCACGCCCGTCGGCGTTAGACCGTGGGGGCGAGATTCGTTTTGCCTTGAGCGAGCAATTTTATGTCAAGTCGGCTCCCTAGCCGGAGGCGAGCATAGCAAGAAACGAGCGATCGGTGGAGGCGGAAGCTGTATGTTGGGAAAGTGTTCTGTTGAGAGTTACAAGTTAGAGATGATGTTTTGATATATAGATAGAGAGTGAGAGAGCACTCCGAGTTTGGTTCCAAGTATGTGGGCGAACACCGAAGCGGGGTGGAGAGGTGCCAACAGAGTTGGCGCGGCCAGCGGTTTACTTTCGGTCTGCGCATTCGTCTGCTGTGTGCAAAATTCTTCCGCCATCGGAACGGTCTCTTCCGGAGTTTCGTCGATTTTCATGTTCTTTTTGCGGGGTATTTTTGCCACGGGTACTTCGCCAAATCAGTTTCAGAAGATTTTTTCTTCATGACTGGATGGAATATTTTTTCCCTCTTCTTCCGTGATTTTCCTTTCCTTTTTTTTTTTTTCTTTTGCGCGGCGTTGGGTTGGCTGGTGCAGTTGTGCGATTTCGTTCTTGGGTGTATTGGTTGCCCCGTTCACCCGCGGAGCACGTTCGTTGCGGGTGTATGTAGCGCGCGCGCGCCAAGCGGCGAGCACGGTCGCCGCAAGGCACGATTCCGAAGGCCACCATCCACCATGGGAGCGTGCTCGGGTCTCCTAAAAGACGAGCCCTCGTTTTTTAGTAGGTCTTTCGGCACGACTAAATTGGCGTGATCACCATCTCATCTATCCGCGTGCTTCAAGTCGAGTACGCCGAGCGTGTTTGGTGCACGGCCATGATCTGTCTGTGCTTCGAATGAAGTACGATCGGAAACGTTTGATAGTGGTTTTATCCCGCGGGGGGGGGGATGTCCACGCCTCGGCCGCCTCCAAAACATTTCCCACTCCCCCCGGTCCGTGTGTGTTCCGTGTTCCGTGTGTCACGACCACGTGGTGTTTGTTGCGTGTTTATTGTTCGTGGGTTGCTAGAGAGAGAGAGAGAGAGAGAGAGAGAGAGAGAGAGAGAGTGTTCGTGCGTGGGGGTGGGGGAGGGTACTATTTCACAGGGGTGACATCGACGGTGTAGGGTGGGATGGTGCCGCCTGACGGGCCGCGTGTACCATGGGACCGTTTCCCGTGTAGTAGTTTTCCGTGCCGCGTGACGGACCGCGTGCACCGTGGGACGGTATACCGTGGTAACTAGTATTTCTTCCGCGGGGTAAATTCATCGCGATACTGCTGGTGTTGGCTGGGATTGTTGTTGGTGTGGTCCCCCCCTGGTTGTACCGCTGGCCGTCGTCTGCTGCTGCTTGGAGGGGGTCACTAGGTCGCCGGAGAAAATCAGCCCCCGCGGGGGGATCGCTAGGTGGGGGGCGGGTGGGAAGACTGGTACTGCCGAGCTCCCCTCTTGGTGCCTTGCCCCGCGTCGCTAGTCTCTAGGGTTTGTGCTTGGTTTAGGCGTTTTCTGTCCACTTTACGGCTGCGCATGCATGTGAGCTTCGATTGTCATGAGCCGGCCAGACGCTGTATATATGTATACTGGGCTCTGCGGAGGGCGGTGGAGTTAAGCCTTGCGGGTCTTAGGCTAGGAGTAATAGCAGCACACGCCGGTTTGAGGCAGTGGCTTGGATCATCTTTGTTGATCAGATCGTATGCATGTTTTGCTGCGGGCACCTGCACGGCCAACCCACCGCGCCGGGGCTCCGGTGGGGGTTCTCGAGAGCCCGTGGCGTTTTTCTCTCCGATGTTGGCTTCGCAGCAAAGGAAGTTGACGTTACAATATGGGTTTGGGTCTCACGAATGTGTGCTTTGGGTTACGTGGGTTGGTTGGACGTCTTGGCATCCCACAAAAAGTAGGAGAAGGTAGCCATATTCGACCACATCGTCCGACCGAAGTCAATGGGGTACAATAGTGATTAGTACTTGTTGTGTGTTTAAGTTGGGTTAGTGCTGTGGCACGGTATGGTAGGACATGTTTTGTCGTCGTCGCCGTCTTGGTCGTTGCTTGTGACTGGCTGTTGGGGTGCTTTTCGCACGGACTCGAGACAGGGCTGTTTGTGTGTCTGCTGTGTGCGTACTTATGAATAAGCAATTTAAGCTTTATTAAATCTGTAGGAGGTAGAAATAATGCTCTATCAAGACCCCTGCCCTCGTCCATCAGGTCTTTGTTAGGTTGGGATGATTTTCTGCAGTACTGAGATAGGTTAGGGAACGAGGGAGCTTGCTCAAGAGGCACACGGGTGATAAAATGAATGGCGTTTATGTTTGCTTCCTTGTCGCGTTAGAGGCGCCGAACTTTTATTAGCTATTATGAGATATTTTCGGAAGGCGAATTTTCATGTAAATTTAAGACGTGGTCAGACTGCAACGTCCTGGTCGCGCTCGGACCTGGCACGCCTTCTTCTTGGTTTGCCCAACCTCCTGATGAAACATCGAGAATAATGGAGAATCTGCGTTGGCTGTCTACAAGTTTGCCAAGGAGATGCATGCATGTGTGATGTGATGGCCTCTGATGGCGGCAGAACCAACTGCGTTGCACGAAAAGTCAACACCCAAGAACCATACCCATCCCAATATATATTGCCGTTCCATTCATTTGTTGGGTTCCCAATGTTTGCCTTGTTTTTTTAGGGCTGCTGCCTCTGCCTCGAACTCGTCATCATTCTGCACCTACAGCAAGGTCATTCGTTACAAGCTGTGTACCTGTCGTCAAGGCTGGCGTCCAGAAGAAAACATAGTCGACAACGAAAGATGTACTTGGTGTTTGGTGTACGGGTAATTTTGGACGATTCATTGACTGCCGCGTAAACGAACTGCTGTGCCGCGTATCCGTTCCCGGATCGGTTTTCATTTCTTGGCTCGGAATCATTCATTCCCCATGCATGCTTCAGCGTGGTCTGGTCAAGAGGTTTGGCTGAAAAACCCAATCTCACAGCGTGATCTTCTCTCCTTCATATATATGGAGGGGAACCAATCCCAACCACCCGACAAAAACAACAACAGCACATGATCCATGTCCACTTCACCTTACGGCACATGTGTGTATGCGCGTACGCCTTTCGGTATTATAAAGGCGGATGGGCGTCGAAGGCACGCATCCATGTACTGGCGGTCTCACGCAAGTTGTCAACGGAGGAACGATCCGGCGGGGTAAATGTTCGTCAAAGTTCATCCGCGATCCGGGGCGACTATTCATTCCACGTACGTACGTACATTGCATACAACCATGGCATCCACCTCCCCGCCGCAGGCGCAAACGACGGGTGTGGTCACTTGGCCAGGGACATGCCGAAGTGGAGGTGATTCTCAAATCGCATGCCTTCAGCAACAGCACAAGAAGAGTGGGGGATGGATCATCGGCGGATGGATCCGACGGTATAGTCTTCTTACCATTTAAGTTTTCTTTGAGAACGCTTCATTTCGCTTCTTTCGGCTTCTGTGAGCGCTCTAATATTCCGGTCTTCTCGGGTTCTCACAGAGCAGCATTTCCTCTGGAAATTTGGCACTTTGGTGGACTTTCCACTTTTTTTATCTTCCGCTTTTTTTATCTCTCTCGCCTGCTGCCGTCACCCCGCTCTGTACCATCATACCACGCATTCCACTCCAAGTACGGCCGGCCCTCTCTGTATGTGCCTCCTTCTCCTCCGTTCCTCCGTCTCTCTATGTCTCTGACGGTCTGTCTATCCACATTCATTCATTCTCTTTTCATTTCCGCCTTCTCTCTTGACCGCTCTCGCGTCGGAATGGTCTGTCTGTTGTTTGTTCCGATTGCGTGTGCTATTGCAGTACATTTATTTGCATTTTTTTCTTCTAACACCTTCACACGGTATGCACTCACCTCCTATCACCTTGGTACACCGTAGGTATTCTCTCTCTCGCTCCTCTCGGTGTGTGTGTGTGTGTGTGTGTGTGTGTGTCTTACTCTCTCTCTCTCCTCTCGGTGTGTTGTGTGTGTGTCTGTCTGTGTATTATCCACGTTGTCTTTGAATTTTTGCTTTTCTCTCTTCACCGCTCTCGCGTCGGAATGGTCTGTTGTTTGTTCCGATTCCGGCAACGAACTGTGTTTTGTGTGCTCCGGTTCCGAAAATCCCTTCAAATGGTCCGGAAAATACGAAAATACACTCCTTTCTACCTCCACTCTCGATGGCTTCTACCCCGGCCCACTCCTCCCACTCCTCCTCTGTAGATACTCCGGCTACAGTTTTTCGCAGCGTCGGAATGGTCTGTTGTTTGTTGTTCCGATTCCGTGTGCTACTGCTGTCTGTACATTTTATGTTTTTCTTCTAACACCTTCACACGTGGGTATGTAATTTTTTCTTCCTTCTATTTAACACCTTCACACCGTATGTATGCACTCACCTCCTATCACCTTGGTACGTACCGAATTCTCTCTCTCACCTCTCCGTGTGTGTGTCTGTGTACCCACGTTGTCTTTAATTTTTTGCTTTTTTTCTCTTTTCACCGCTCTTCTCGCGTCGAAATGGTCTGTTGTTTGGTAGTGCGTTAAATTGGTAGCGCTGTCTTTCTTCATTCATTCGCAGTTCAGCCGACAATAAATTTTGTCTATCTTATGGAGTTAGTTCTGAGTTTGTTCTGGATGTTTACGTATCAGATAATAATGGAGGGAGGGGTATACTGGCCACGATAGGAAACAAATAATGGACCTTTACATATCTCCTTGAATCACACGCGAACCTCCATCATGGGAACTCGACGTCACGGAAACTTTAACTGCCATCGGTACCTACTTTCATTTTAACAACATCCTACACCCACTTTCAGAGAAAATATTGCCTTCGAATCGCTTCAAAAAAAGCGGGGGCGCGAAGCGCCCAAATCCTTGTACATACTACACGAATTATGCTCATCCTCGACCCAACTCGATCTTTCATTCTACAGCTGACCAGCGAACCATGGCGCTGGCGGACATAGCACCTCCAGGTATATGTAGTATCAATGGGACTTTCATTGTTGCCTCCCGGTGGCACCGGAGCCTAGCTCAGTTG